AAATAGCCAAAATGTATTTGTCAAGAACAAATCATGTCAAACCAATCTCATTTCTGTCTTTGTCAGAATCACTGGTCTAATGGAGACAAGATATAGCTTGATATTAGTGAAGCTTTTGACACAGTCCTACATGACCCTCTCATAAGAAAACTAGTTAAATGTTATCATATTACTATTGGGTGGGTGGCCAATAGAAGATGTGGACTTACAAGGAAAGGTTAAAACAACTGTGCCTATGTAGTCTTGAGAATGGTAACAGTCTTCAAATATATTAAGGGTTGTTACAAAGAGGATTGTGATCAATTGTTCTTCATGTCCACTGAAGGTAGGACACGAAGTAATGGCATCAATCTTCAGCAAAGGAGATTTAAAGATTATGTAGTACCAAAAACTTTCAAGCTATAAGGATAGTTACGCTCTGACGTGGTCTTCTAAGGGAAGCTGAAGAATCCCCATTTCTGGAGGTTTTTTATGAACAGGTTGAACACGCACCTGTCATGGATAGTCTGATTTTACTTGATTCTGCTTTTGTGCAGGGGACTGGACATGATGAATTCTAGAGGTCCCTCCCAACCCTCTATTCCTAGGATTGAAGTGAATATAGCCCTATGGAAAATAATTGGATTCTTCTTTTTAATAATGATTGATCATGAGTAGGAGTCCAGGACCCTGGACAAGAATGGTCCTTAAGTGCTTTTAATATGCGATCTAGATTTGTAACTTTTTTATGCTTGATGGCTGAAATATAGATCTGTGAAAAAGTGACAAGTAAGTGTATAAATTACTGTGCAAATGATAAAAATATAATTTTCTAGATTCTAGATATATACATTTAATTCTGTAAATAAGCTAATACTTTGTTTAAAATACTGTCAGTTGAAAACTAAAATATTCTGGTTTTTTTTTAAATCAGTATTAGAAAAAATTGGAAGAGGTGGCAGGGGAAGTCATCATCATCATCCCTGGGAATAGAAATCAGAGTATGTTTTGATGAGGGTTGGCAGGAGGGTGGTGTGTTGACAGGAGAGGGTGCAGTTGGGTAGGCACAGGGGAAAAGGCTCTTAAGGGAACAGATGTGTATTTTGGGGCAGCAGAAAAAAAGGGAAGAAAGAGAAGGATTATAAAGGAGCAAGAGGTGTGTGGTAGTGGGGCAGAATAATGAAGAGATGTCAGAGTAGAACCAGGATTTTTGTGCATTGGAGAAAGGGCATTCATTAGGGATATGGGTGTGGCAAATTTACTGGAGATATGTTTGGGATTGTACTGGGAGTATGTTGGAGTGGATAGAGGGGTGTACTGGGGTGCAGGAGAGCATTGGTAATGGGTTGGGGGTGGATGGAAAGATAAATGTACTGGAACTGTGTCGGAGTTCACAGAAGGAAGTATGAACTGGTTTGGTGGAGTATACTAAGAGTGTATTGAGGTGGACAGAGGTATGCATATTGGATGTATGCTGGGGTGGATGGAGAAGTGCAGAAGGATGTGGCTGTATTAGCAATGTGGGGTGGAAGGAGAGGTGTATAGGAAAGGAAGAGTGCATAGGGAATGTGTTGTGTTGGATAGCGTGTGTATTGGGACAGGGTATTGGGAGTGTGTTGAGGTAGGTGGAGGAGTATACTGGGACAGCTGGAGAGCTGTAACTGTGGGTGTGCTGGAGTGGATGGAGGAGTATATGGGGGCTTGCTGGGGGAGCATTGGAGTGCGCTGGGGTGGTGTAGGGGGTGAGCATTGCTGGGGGGTCATTGGAGTGTGCTGGGGTGGTGTAGAGGGTGACTAGGGACTGTGCTAGGGGGTGCATGGAGAGAAGTGTGATAGAAGCTGGGGGAGTACTGGGAGTGCGAGGGGTGTGATGCGAAGGGAGGGAGAGAGGATACCGGAGAGCACAGCGGGCTCCTGCCCAGCTTCCGGGGCTGGCAGCGACAGAAGTGCCTGCTGCGGGGCAAAGGGGCTGGCAGCCCAGCCCAGCCCAGAGCCCCCGGCAGTAGGTCCCGGCCAGCCCCGCAGCGGCGCGGCAGCAGGTGTGCGGGGAGTGGGGGAGGCGGGCTCACCAGCAGCCAGAGCAGAAGGAGGCCCCCACGGGGCACTGGCCGGGGCTCCGCTGGGCGCCACATGGTTCCGATGGGGCTCAGGCGCCGGCTGCTCCCATGGGCGACGCGGGGCCGGCACGCGGCGGGTCGAGGCCCAGAGCGGCACTTGCTGCTGCAGGTCGGTGCCGGCTCAGGGCAGCCAGAGCGCGCGGCCGCCGGGGGAATCCGGCCACGGGGACTAGGCAGATCCTGCTTCCTGGAGCTCAGCCGCTGCGGGGGGAGGAGGCTCCGCCCGGGCGGGGCTGGAGTCTCGCTGGGCAGGTGCAGCACGAAAGGACGAGCCGAGCTGGGGACGCCAGGCGCACCTGCTCCTCCTTTGTTCCCTCCCTCAGTCTCGTTGACCTTCCCCTGGGTGTAACGGTGTGGAGGGGGACAACCCGCTCGTTTTGCTCGCCCCTAGAGCTATTTATCTGAGTCTGTGGATGCTGCTGGGACTGCCCAGCACTGCCTGACACGCTGGCCTGTGTATAGTGTGAATTGTGTGTATTGTTTCTCCTCCAACTGCCGCTCTCGGGATGGGGGAGTGGGAGAAAGGGAGAGAATTAAAAATACCTTAGTTTGCAGGTGCTCTGAGCCTCTGATAGAAGGGCTCATGCATTTACATGGACCAAGAGTTACAATGATTTGTGCTAACACATCACAGAAATCTCAGAGGGGTAGCCCTGCTAGTGTGTAACATTACAGAAGAGCTATTAATTCTCATGCTTCAGGATTTAAAGTTTAACCAATTGCTGTTAGAGCCCACGATGGGACCTACGTGAAACAGATTATTTCAAAGCTGTTGCCGTGGGAGTTCTTGCATTTCGTTCTGAAGCCTTTGGTCCCGATGTAGATACACACCCCGGCCTCTGTCAGATACTGGATTAGCTGAACCTGGGAGCTTGATCCATCTAACAGTTCCCATAATCTTATGCCTGTCTTTAGGTTTCCTGGATTTTTTTGCCTTAATAGACTTCCCATGATGACTTCCTCAGGAAGCCATCAGTCAAATAGGAATGCCAGTAAAGAGCTCTGAGAACATTTGTCACATCTCTAGAAAAGTGCACCTTGTAATTGTATTAGTTATTAATAATAACCTCAGAATTATAGAAATTACAATAAAAAGACATTGCATGGTCTGAAATCCTTGGTACATGTTATTACTATTATATTATCTGCATTATGCTAGAGCCTATAGGAAGTTAGGAACTGTCCACACACATAGGAAGGCATAGTAGCTACCATGAACAACTCACATAAATTGTACTATTTACTTATACTTTCAAACTTAAACATATGGCATGACTGTGCCAATTTAATAATAGAGATAAAATTATTGTTTAATATATGTTCCTGAAACATTGTAATTAAGAGCTGCATTAGATGATGAAGTTCAATATTATCTGTCATTTATGTACACCCATAGAAAGACTTGTAGGCTTCCTGCCCTCCCGGGACTAAGGCCTTGGTCCTAATCAATATGCTTTGACAGATCTCTTACAGATATGTGGAGCCCTTAATGCAGGTGGTATGTAGGGCTACACGAGGTTCCTTTACTCTCTGTTGAATTTTAGCCTTACAGGATATGACCCTTATTCTGCTCCCCATCAAATTCCCACCAGCTTCATTACCAACAGGATTTGGCAAATACTACTTCCCAACATCTGAAGTATTGTACTATGTACAAGTTCTGTCATTGAAAACACTTGTATCTGTCTGGAAAGGACACAGCCTTTAGGTTGACAAATATGCCGTCTTCTCATACTACAAATACTAGTCCTTTTTAATATCCAAAACTGAAAATTTAGTGTATACCATTATTTTCCATTTTTATGATGCAAAATAAAAGCCTGAAAAGTTTTGGGTTTATTTTTCCTTCTAAGAGCATTGGAAAACCTACTTTTTACATTAAAGATTCAGATTGTGTCCAATGTGCTTATCCTAAAATTGTAGATTTATGAGTCACCATTCAAGTGAAAGTTGATTAAAGGGACAATGACTTTTATTATTCAGTTTTTGAAATATATACAACTCTAACACCTTATCACGCAGGGCAGAAAAAGCTGTAAAATATTGAACATTATCTTGCCTTCTGTTAAAAACTAAGAAATCTCTTATCCTTATCTGGTATGTCCAAGAAGACCTCCAGCAAAACCAGCAAAGACTGACAACCTTAATTGATATTTGTTATACATATAAAAAAGCAGAACATAACCTTTTCTCAAATAAATCTTCCTGGCAGAAAATGATTGATAGTGCTCTTACAAGTAATTTCTTTCTTTGCACAGGTTACATTCAAAGTACCCAAGGAACTGGATTCCGGGACAAGCAGTATCGGGCTGGTTATCTGCAAAAAAGCCACTTTGGCATCTTTGGAGAGATAAAAATGTAATACAAAGCTCACGAACTTAGTTTGCTTGTTCTACTGTGTCTGAAGGCACAGGCACGGTGATGGTGGAACTACGAAAAGATTGGAGTCAGAATGTATGAGTGGTTTCCATGGGGTATATTATCATTCACGTCACGGGCTGTCAAATGGTGTTGAACAGCTGTTCTATTGCGCTCAGCTGACTGCACCCCTCTCCCCCCCAGTTCCTGTCTGTCTGTCTGTCTGTGCATCCGACGGGGCTTCTGCACCAGCCCCATCGCTACCACTGGAGTGCAAAGCCCGGCGCACGTCGCGGCCTTGGAGACGCGTGAGGCCCCCGCTGCTGCCATAGCCCCGCCAAGGAGCCCCCATCCCGGCACAGGCCGCACTGAAGCGAGGTGACGAGCCCCGCCCCCCGGAGCTCGCAGCCCGCCTCTAGGACGCAGCGGGGGACGCGCCCCGAGGCGCCTGCAGAAGTGGGGGGCGGGGCTGCCACAGCGAGGAAGCGGGAGACTTCGGGAAGGGGCGGGGCTTAGCTTCTCAGTGGCGCCTGCACTTGCCCCGGAAGCGGAAGCGGGTAAACTGCAGTCGAAGGTGAGAGGTCAGAGGGTGGAGGTCTGCCCCTCGCCTTGCCTAGCTATGGGGCGACACTCCCGCACGCTGCTCATCTTCGGCGGGTTCGTTGCCGTAGTGGGGGCGGCGTTTTACCCCATCTACTTCCGGCCGCTGCGGCAGGTGGACCAATATAGTGAGTACGGCCCCGCCGAGCCTGGCGTGAGCCCCGCGCCGCTCTCCGCGCAGCGCCCCTCACCCTCGCTCCAGGCGCCCAGCTCCCTGTCCCCGCCCTCCCGGCCGTGCCACGGGCCCCAGGGAGCAGCCTCCCCGTGGTGTATCCGCCACCGAGCTCCCCTCCCTGTGTAATCCCTGGGCCTCGCCCTCACGCCCCCTCTCTGTGCTGCTCCCTGCCCTGCAGACAGCGCTTCGTTTGCTCAGTGATTCCTCCCTGACTCGCCTAGTCATTACTTGGGTACAAAGGGGTAACCAGTAAACCAGCCTCCTGCCCGCGCCGGTTAACCAGGTACCTTTTAAACGGGATTTTACATCCTTAAAAACAACGAATAGTCTGATAGCATTTTAAAGACGAACGAAACATGTAGATGGTATTGTGAGCTTTAATGGGTGCAACCCTGTTCTTCATCTGACTATACTTATGGGCCAGAGATTCATCTTCTGGTGTTTGGTTTAGAGGGACTACTAAAGACCTGCTCAATTAAATTATGAGGGCACTGTCCGGTCACCACTGCTACTCCTTGATTCACGAGGAGTAAGGGAAGTTGACGGGAGCATTTGCTCCCGTTGACTTCCTGCTATGGAGATAGCTCGGCTTAAGGTACATCGACTCCAGCTCCATTATTTATGTTGCTGTAATTGTATTTATGTAGTTGTAATTAAGCCAGCCTTCCAAGTGTAATATAGATCTGGTTTTAGCACTAGGGATGTTGAAAATCGTGTAATAAGATAGCTGCGTAACTTCTGAAAATCTCAGTGGTTACATGGTTACACCTGCTGTGGACTCTGCAATGTAAAGCTTAGCTTTATACTGGAGGGCCCACAGCAAAGCCTCCCCAGGTCTGGCTCCTGGGGAGGTGTGGGGGCTTTGCTGTGGCACCGAATCTTTCTCCCCAGGATCAGAGTGGGTAGCCCTTGCCGGCCTGGCTTCTGGAGAGGAGACTTTGCTGCCTTTTCACAGCAAAGCTGCCTCCCTGGAGAACTGAGCGCAACTGACACCAATAAGAATCCATTTATCAATTAAATGGCTAACTGGGTACACTTTAACATCCCTACTTGTATCACTAATCCTAGCATCATCACCCCCAAATAATTCTCTCCATGCTGCATACTGAAGTGGTTGATGTGACTTCAATAAAGCTTTTGATATTGTCTCTCATGGCCTTCTCATAAAAAAACTAGAGACATACAGCTTATATGGAGTTACTATGTAAGGTGGGTGAAAAACTGGCTGGAAAACCATTCCCAGAGAATAGTTATTGGTGGAGTGATGTTGGAAGGCCATAACGAGTAGGATCCCACAGGAATCAGGTGTAAGACTGGTTCTGTACATTACCTTTATCCATTGTATAGATAATGGCATAGTGAGTACACTTGTAAAATTTGCAGATGATACCAAGTTGGGAGGACTTTGAGAAATAGGATTAAAATTCAAAATTATCTGGACAAATTGAAGAAATGGTCTGAAATAAATAGGATGAAATTCAATAAGGACAAATACAAAGTTCTCTACTTAGGAAGGAAGAATCAGTTGCGCACATACAAAATGGAAAATGATTACCTAGGAAGGAGTAGTGTAGAAAGGTATCTGGGGGTCATAGTGGACCACAAGATATGTATAAATCAACAGTGTGACACTGTTTGTTGCAATAAAAATAAATATATATATTTCTGAGATGTATTAATAAGAATGTTTTCAACAAGACGTGAGAAGTAATTCTTCCACTCTACTCTGTGCTGCTTAGGTTTCAAGTGCTCAGTTCTGAGCACCACATTTGAGGAGAGATGTGGAAAATTGGAGAAAGTTCAGAGAAGAGCAAACAAAAATGATTAAAGGTCTAGAAAACATGACCTATGAGCAAAGATTGGAAAAAATTGGGTTTATTTTGTCTGTAAAAGAAAAGACGTGAGAGAGCATTATAAGCGTTTTCAACAACATAAGTTGTTACAGAGAGAGGGGGAGAAAAATAGTTCTGCTTAATCTCTGAGAGAAGGACAAAAAGCAATGGGCTTAAATTGCATCAAGGAAGGTGTATGTTGGACGTTACGAAAAACTTCCTGTTAGGGTAGTTAACCACTGAAACCAATTGCCTAGGGAGTTGTGGAATATCCATTATTGGAGATTTTTAAGAGCAGGTTGGACAAACACCTAATGGTCTAGATTTGGGTGGGGAAACTTTTGGGTTTAGGGGGCTGCTGATCCACAGAATAATCAGTTGGGGGCAAAAACAAAACAAAAAAAAACCCCTCACTCACCTGATCCCTGACTGAGAAGGGGAAAAGGCACTCCCCACATTCCTCTTGCAAATCAGAGCCTAAGACCCAGAAGGGCCCAGGCTATTAGATTTTATGTGCTCCAGTCCTGTGGTGAGATAGTGGGGGAGCAAGCTGCGGGCTGGCCTGAGGCTCTCCACCCCATTCTAAATAATATTTAGTCCTACCATGAGTGCAGGAGAACTGTACTAGATGATATCTTAAGGTCCTTTCCATTTCTATGATTCTACGTATGGTCTCTTGGAATTACTGTTGTTTAAGACATTTTACTTGAGCAGTAGAATGGTGATTTAAAAAAAAAATCTTTTATATTGTAAACTGTAGTGTGATTGTGGGTTTCATATCTATAACACTTGCTAGTTTGCTTGCTAGAGAGCCTCCCATGGTGTCTGGAATATACATATATAGACACAGAGAGCAACAAACTTACTAGAAACAAGCTAGTACAGGTTGAACCTCTCTAGTCCAGAATAAGGATGTTAAATGCGATTATTTGGCTAATCATATAGTCAATACAATTTGTCAATAAACACTTCTGCAGAGCCGCAGCAGGGGTAGCTCCAGAGGAGCTGACTCAAGCCAGGACTGAGCAGTCCTAGCTCATGCCCACTCCAGAGCCACCTGTGCTATGGCTCTTCATTTTAAATGCTGGGCTCTTACTACATTTAAAATACAGAAGTGCAGCAATCAGCATGAGCTGGAACTGCTCAGTCCTGGCTTGCGCTGAGTCCAGCAGTCCCTGAGTGCAGTGGACAGTACTGTCCACCGCAAACAGGGGCTGGTACCAGAACAACCTTTGTTTGTGTTGGCCAGGTCTGGCTGTGGGCAGACGCTGCTCAGGCAGCAGTCCCTGTTCGTGACCAGCCCTGGCTGCAGCCCATGGGCTGGTGCCAGAACAGCCTCTGTTTGCAGTAACCAGCACTAGCTGCTGTGAACAGAGAGTGCTCCAGCACCAGCCCCTGGTCCTGGCCAGCGTGAATAGGGGTTGCCTGGTGGCAACAGCCCCATCTGCAGAGGGCGGGGGCAGCTCCTCTCTGGGACCCCTGTGGACAGCTTCATCCCCTATCTTCCTCCCCTCCCCCCCACTGCCTCTGATGGGGGAGGGAGGGCAGATGGCACCCTGGAGACGGTGCTGGAGGAACTGGCTTTTAAGCTGCCTTCCCCCAGCACCAATTCCTGCCCCCCCTTGCTGCTTTTCATAGAGGCAGCAGGGGGGAGGGAGGAGAGGAGAGGAGGGCACCAGAGAGCATGGAGCAAGCGGGGACTGCTTGAGTCCCTGCTCATCCTGTGTTCCCTGCAGTACTTCTGCTTTTGAAATGTGAAGCGCCTGTAGTAGGAACCGGTGCTAGCAGGAACTGAAGCAGTCCCCACTCGCACCATTTCCCGCTGTGCCTCTGCCTCCCGCTGAGACGGCTTTAATTAGTCAACTAATCAAATAGTCACTGGAATTTCCATTGACTATTTGATTAATCAATAAGGGCACTTCTGCTTTGAAATGTAGCAAGAGTCCACTGGGCTGTTGCTACGTTTCAAAGGCGGAAGTGCCACCTGTTGTTCCACCTTTGAAATGTACAAGAGACCCAGCAGCGACTCTTGTATGTTTCAAAGATTGAAATGCTATATGGAGCCTGGCTGGAGAGGCAGCAAGGAAGGGGAGCAAGTAGTTGACTGGACTACCTAATAAGCCTATGATTATCAGGTAATCGACTGGTTGACTACTCCCTTACATCCCTACCTGTGAGGCATGAACATATCTTGAAATCTGTATTACTTCAAGCCCACACATCTCCCCAGGAACCAGTCCCGAGGAGGCTTTATTTAATCTGTATTATTTAAAAAAATCTTTTCTTCCTCCCCCTCAATTCTGAATAATATTGCAGTAGAAGTGAGTTTTAAGGAGTGATTTGAATGAGACAGAGGAGAGTATTTGAAGCTTGAGAGGTGCATAAAACTTCCCATAAGTATGCTACATAATCTTTATTTAATGTGAATTTAAGGGATAATTTAGTTACTATTTATGCTAACTCGAGTGACTAGAACATTGTAAGTATTTCCTTGAATGCTAGTCAAACTATATTATCTATCTTCTTTATTTTTTATAGTTAATTTTTTAGAATATGGTACTTTTCTAATGTACTGTTCCTTTGTCTCTTAAATCATTTTTAAACTTGCTGCTAAACTATTCTATAAACAATTTTTTAAAAAGCAATTTGTTTTAATGCATGACTTATCTAAGTCAAAAGTGTTCTGCTGTTGCAGAACCAGCAGGGGGAGCATAAACTAACTTTCAGTTGATTTCAGAGTTGATTGTTGTTTCAACATTCACAAAGAGCCATATAACAACTTAGATGAAAAAAAGTTGCAAAATATAGATCAAATTTAAGCACAGAAATTTTATATTAATTTTTAAGAAGGGACAACTAATAATGGACGACAAAGGATCTGATTGCTACATTTTACATTTCTGTTCTAACACAAATTTTATAGTGATTCATTGATTAAAAGAATTTTAAAATATTTATGAATCATAGAAGGGAAAGTGTAACATTAATTTCAGAGGGACCTTCATTTTATTTCAGTTTAAATGTCATGCTGATTGGTAAGAACCTATGATCTGTTTGAGAATCTGCACTTACTCAGACTGAAGCTTCCCATAAAGATACATTTTCTGTTCTAGCGGTGAGGAGTCCTGTGGCACCTTATAGACTAACTGAAGTGTAGGAGCATAAGCTTTCGTGGGCAAAGACCCACTTCGTCAGATGCATGCATCTTTGCCCACGAAAGCTTATGCTCCTACACTTCAGTTAGTCTATAAGGTGCCACAGGACTCCTCGCCGCTTTTGCAGATTCAGGCTAACACGGCTACCCCTCTGATATTTTCTGTTCTATTTCCTATCAAAAACTGATCATTTTTCTCTATATCCTGTTCCTTTTTACATTGCAGTTTTAAATATAAATTGCACACACAACATTATAAGGAACATGCTTAAGGTACAAAGTCAAGCATTCAAAAGTTCAGAAATGCTAGAATTAAGGTTGCCTGTTCAATGTTAATTCACTCCCCCTTGTCCATATACATTTTAATATAGTCCATCTCCCTGCTCCTCATGTGATGATCCTACTAATATTTCCACTTCTAGTCCCAGCCTGCTTCTCTTGCTCTTTAGCTTCTATTTTTAGTCTCTTTGGCCAACAGATGTCAGTCTCCTCTTCCCTGTCTGTCTCAGTTTCTCTCCCTCTCACTCTTCTGAGTGAGGGAGGGTGAAGCTGTGGCAGATACCAACAGAAATTTTCCATCCAGATATTTAAACGTTGAACATCATTACAAAGAGGTTCTTTCTATTGGGAAGTGCCTTAATTCTAGAATTTCTGAACTTTTGAATGCTTGACGTTGCACCTTAAACATGTCCCTTATGTTGTGTGTGCAGTTTATATTTAAAACTGCATTGTAAAGAGGAACAGGATATAGAGAAAAGTGATCAGTTTTTGATGGGGAAATAGAACAGAAACTTTAATGTGCAGTGCTACTATACTAGCCCAGTCTATAATAAGATACATTATAATATTATAAAACCACACTCCCATTTTGTAAAAATGACTATCCTGGGTCAGACTAGTGGTCCATCTAGCCCAGTATATTGCTTTCCATCAGTGACCAGTGCCAGATACTTCAGAGGGAATGCTGAGAACAGGCAATTATTGCATGATCCATCCCATTGTCCAGTCCAGCTTCTTGCATATGGATGTTTAGAAATACACGGAGCATGGAATTATATCCTGACCACTTGGACGAATAGCCATTAATGGACTATTCATAAAAATATTGGATTCTTTTTTGAACCCAGTTATACTTTTGTCCTTTTCAACAACCTATGGCAATGAGTTCCATAGGTTTACTGTGTGTTGTGTGAAGAAGTACAAGTACTTTCTTTTTGTTTTAATCTTTCTGCCCATTAATTTAATTGTGTGATTTCTAGTTATTGTTTTATGTTAAGGAATAAATAACACTTCCATATTCATTTTCTCCATACCATTCATGATTTTTTAGACCTTTATTAGATTTTCCTTTTATGATTCTCTTTTCTAATTTGGACAGTTCCAGTCTTTCTTTTAATCTCATCTCATATAGAAGTTGTTACATACTCCTAATTATGTTTGTTGCCCTTTTCTGTACCACTTAGAATTCTAACATCATTTTTTTAAATGGGGGGGAGGGCGCAGGGTGCCCAGATCTGCAGGCATTATTCAAGGTGTGGATGTACTGTGCATTTATATACTAACATTATGGTATTTTATATTTTATTATCTATCCCTTTTCTTGTGGTGTCTAACATTCTGTTTGCTTTTTTGCCTAACATTGCACATTGAATAGATGTTTTCAGAGGACTGTCTATAATGACTCCAATATCACTCTTGAGTAATAACAAATAATTCAGATCCTACCATTTTGTGTGTATAATTGGGATTATTTTTTCCAATGTGCATTATCTTGCACTTATGAGTGTTGAATTTCATGTGCCATTTTGTTGCCTAGTTACTCCATTTAGTGAGATCCCTTTGTGGCACTTTGCAGTCAGCTTTGAACTATCTTGAGAAATTTTGTGTCACTTGCAAATTTTGCCACTTACTGTTCACCCCCTTTTCCAGATCACTAACGAATACATACAACAGCACAGATTTTTGGGGGGCCTTCTGTACCTCTCTACAGTATGAAAACTTACCATTTATTCCTAGATTTTATTTTATATCTTTTACTCAGTTACTGATCCATGAGAATACCTTCCCTCTTATCACATGACTGCTTACTTTACTTGATAGTTTTTGATTAGGGACCTTGTCAAAGGCTTTCTGAAATCTGAATGCATGGTACTGATTGGATCATCCTTGTCCACATGTTCGTTTGACTCTTCTCAAAGAATTCTAATAGATTAGTGAGGCATAATTTCCTTTTAAAAAAAACCATGTTGACTCTTTCTCAACATATTGACTTTGTCTCTGATACATGTTTGTTAATATAATTTCAACCACTTTCTTTGGTATCAAAGTTAGGCTTACTGGCCTGTAGTTGCCAGCATCATTTCTGAAGCTATATTAAAAAATCAGCATCCTGTTCTAGGTATATCACCATGTAGTCAACTATATGGTTAACTGATAAGCCTAGGTTTATCGGTTAATCTTGACAACTACACACATTTTCCTCTCTCTCCCTCGCTGCCTCTCTATCAGTGGCAGCAAATGGGGAGAAGCAGAAGCCAGTGCTGGGGGGAGCTTGCTCCCTGTGGACAGAGGCTGTTGGAGGAAAGGGAGGGTAAGGGGGAGGCTGCAGCGAAGCCAGATTTCCCCTTGGACAAGGGCTGCTGCTGGGAACCAGCCTCTGTCCGTAGCCATCTGGGGCAGCTTCATGGCAGTCTCCCCAGCATCCCTCCCCACAGAAGCCTCTGTCCGTGGGGAGCTTAGACCCCTTCCTTGCCCCCCCGCCCCCCGATACTGGTTGCTGTTGGGTATGAGCTTTTGTCTGCGGAGGGCCCAGGCTGCACCACGGTCAGAGGCTGCATCCTGAGAGGCAGAGCAGTCTCTGTCCAGAGGAAGTACAGATGCCCTGGGGACAGAGGCTGTTTCATGGCAGTCTTCCTGTCCGCTTTCAGGCAGCAGTGCAGGGGAGGCGGAAAGTGGCATCACAGAGCTGGTACTGGGGGGAATCGGCTTTTAAGAGCACTGGCTCCTGCTCCCCCTCCCCAGCTGGCTGCCTCTGACACCGAGGCAGCGGGGGGGGGGAGGAAAATACGTTTAGTTAACAAGATTAACCAATAAATCTAGGATTATCAGTTAATCCTACTGCATATTGACATCCCTAGTTGAGACTGAATCATAGAAACACAGGTACTCCTACCTTTACATTATCTCTTTTTGGTTTGGTTATAGTATCCAAAAAAGACTTGCTCTTATTGGTCTAAGATGCAATCTTTCATGTTGTATGATTATTATATTTTTGCTGGATAGACTGATGTTCACCAATGCATCAGACTATCACATGTTCTGATTCATAGCATTTTATTAGCTATTGTAAGAATATGTGCTGTTTCTTTTCTGTGTGATTTTACAGTTTGTTGTGTTTACTAGGGAAGGAACAGGCAATAAATCGATCTGGTATTGTTCAAGAGGATGTTCAGCCTCCAGGTATATCAGTTTGTATATTTCTGTTTTTATGGTATTTAATAAAACACTAATTGAAAAATATATTTTCAGCATTTAAGCATATTTTAAAAGCAAGTATGTTAAAATAATTTGCCCATTTAATTATTCAGTGTTTTTCTTTTTTTAAAGGATTGTAATATGTAATTTTAGTACTAACCACTTTCTCAGGCATCTTCATTGCACAGAAACTATACCTATTAGAATAATTTGGTTTTGAAATTGCAACCTCTTTGTGTGAAGATTTCTGCCACTTTTAAACCAGTGTCAGAATATCCATGCAGAGGGGTTGTACAGATTAAACTATCGATTTTTAAACTAATTAAAATGAATTTAGTTTCTGTGTGGACTTTACTTTACTATAAAAACGTACACTTGCGCACTCCATTGCTGAATAGATGCTCTCACCATGGAACTATGTAGTACTGAGTGTTTCCATTATCAGAAATATTTAATTAATAAGTACTGTTATAATTTCCATCTAGTTTCTCTGTCTTACTATGCCAGTAAAAAAGACTTGCTGATAGATAAAGAAAATGTGATTGCAATGGGAGGACTAGTTTTAAGGTACTAGCTATTCAAGGTTGGCAATTTGTTCTTGTAGACAACGGGCTATTTGTGTATCTGAAATAGCCCATATCTATTAAGATGTATTACAGCATTATTTGTTGGATTAGGGATGTTAAAATTCATGTGTTCAAGTAAACATGTAACCACTGAAAAAAATTGAAGTTTCACACATTTAAATACTGTGTGGGAGGGGTCAGCTCCTGCTTTCCTCCTGTGCTGCTGCTGCTTCTGAAATAGAGGCAGTAGCGCAGCGGAGGGAGGTGGCTCCATGGGAGCAGGTACCCTTGAGGACCTGGTAAGTGATGAGCCCCGGCTGCATGTAACTGTGCACGGTAACAGATGAGCCAAGGCCACACTTCAAATAAGATGTTGAAAACTTGATTGTTTCAGAAAAGAACTATAAGAATGATTTGTGGCTTGGAAGACTTGCTTTATAGATTGAAACTAAAGCTCAGTCTGTTTATCCAAAAAGTTAGGCAGTGACTGGATCTCATTTAGGTCTACAAGTAAATAAAGTGATATTAGTACCACCTCTAATATCATCAATTCACAGACACTTACCTTCCTTCCTCCTCCCTCCCCCGCATCCCCTTCCTGTTCCGAAATGTGATTTGTCCTTTTCATATGTGTTCATTTTTTTTAAAGTGTATCCTTTGGTATATATGGTTGTGACTATTTTCTTCCACTATTTGATCTGAGGAAGTGGGTCTGGCCCACGAAAGCTCATCACCTAATAAACCATCTTGTTAGTCTTTAAAGTGCTACATAGTCCTGTATTTTGCTTCATGTCTGATAATAGCTCTGTAACCTAGCAGAAAAAGACATCATAGATGGAAGCTAGATAAATTCAGACTAGAAATAAGGTGCAGCTTTTTAACACTGAGGCTGTATCTACACGAGCCTCTTTCATAAGAGGAAATGCAAATGGAATGCTCATTTTCATATGTTGCACTCTCATTTGCATTTCCTCTTGTGGAAGAGGCTCGTAGTGTAGATGTAGTGTGAAAGTAATTAACCATGGGAACAAGTTGCCTGGATTCTCCATTGCTTGAATTCTTTAAATCAGGACAGGATGTCTGTCTTAATGATATGCTATAGCTCCATGATGTCCAACCAGTTCTGAAGCAGTAGCCACTATACGGAACTAGCCACATTCAGCTGGCCAAATAGCCATATTATTCAGTCCAGTTAGCTACATGTGGCTAGCATGTTGGATACCACTGCTATAACTCAAATAGAAGCTATGGATTTGATTCAGAAATTATTGTGTGTAGCTCTTTGACCTCTCATGCAGGAGGTCAGACAATAATTATAATGATCTATTTATTCTGACCTATATAAAACCTATAAATTCTTGATGGTGTTTTTCTTTCTTTCTTTTCTTGATTTGTAGGGTTAAAAGTGTGGTCTGATCCATTTGGAAGGAAATAACATTGTGTACATCACAAGTTGTGCTTGAAGATGCATATGTTCGAAACAACTGTTTTGATTCATATACTAATGAGTGTATTGTTTAGGTGTTGCTGGAGATGGATTCTCAGTCTCAATATGGTCCTTGGGTAGGAACTTCAGTGAATGTTGCTGATTCTGAAGATTAATACTAAATTTTTCTTTAGAGTTCAGTACGTAGTGGAACAAAATGGACTGACTGTGAGATGACTGAATGATCTTTGAGTTTAGCGCTAAACACTTCTTCATATGTTAGAGGGAAGAGAGGAGTACTTTATTACTAGACTTAATGTGTAGCCACTTATAAGTATTAGCAGAATACATTATGCAGATCATTGTACCTTACTGCACCGTTTGTCTACTTCTTTTTGAATTTATACATACAGGTTGAACCTCTAAAATCTGGAATTTTCTGGTCCGGCACTTCTGTGGTCCGGCAGGATATTGCTAGACCAGAGAGCCCCAGCTGTCCAGGTTTAGGGCCTGAGCTGGTAGTGAGGAATTCAGCCCCAGCAACAAGGGGTCTGGTGTGAAGGGGAGCACAACTGGGGGTGGTGGCGGGGAAGTGGCCCAATTACCAGGGCCGGCACCTGAGAGTTCAGTCCCAACTGGTGAGGACCAGCAGTAAAATCCTGGCTGAGGCCAGCTGGGTCGGGAGGGCAGCTCTGGCTGGGTTGGGGTAGCGGGACTGGCAGGGAGCAGGGCCGAAAGCCGGGAGGAGACACTTGACCTCGCTGGTCTTGCAAGCTCTGTGGTTTGGAACTGTTCAGGTTCCAAGAGTGCTGGACCTGGGAGGTCCCACCTGTACAGATGAAATGAAAGACATAATATATGCAGGAGGGATGAACGATGCAGAAAGAATGTAATGTGATATAATTGTAAATCTGTAAACAATATTAAAATCATGTTTTTATTTAAACTAGTGTGCATTTTCTCCATTTCATTATGTTTATTTTGTAAACAGGAATTGGGAGTGACTGTGTCAGTGGGAGTAGAGGTGTCTTATAAGGTCTTTCTGTAAAGTCACTTTTTTACAATGAATGTAATTAAGCACTACAACAGTTTGACAATACATGTGGCTGATTCCCCATCAATAGATTTTAGAAAAATACACAATTTTGATAGGATGTGCTATAATTCAGCCATGTATCTCTTGGCTTGATACCGGAATTACTGGGTGAAATTCTGTGGTATCTTGCGCAGAAGGTTTCCTCTGGCTTTACAGTATATTAATCTATAAATTTCAGTCATATTTGATGTTACTGTAACAACTTTCTTCTTGAAGGGGGAATAGCATAAGGATGAACAATGCGGTTAGGCACTAGAACAGGAGGGGGGCTCGTTCTACCTCATATGAAAGTAATATTGATCTTTTGAGAGAAATCATACCTATCAACATAGCTATATGTATGTTTCATACCTTTAATCACACACAGAATAAATATGTACATTTAAAGATGGCTGGAGGCACTGTAGAACAAAATATTTGGAAGCAATTTCTAAAGGAAAGCATCAGTGTTCCCTGTTAAGTGAGTGTTTGTGTGGGTGCTCAGGAGAGATTTAGATGCTGCCCAGTGACTAGCAGAGTGCCCACAGTTTTTTGTTTTTTACTGGTGGTGCACATACACATGCTTTTGTACACATAAAATTATTCCACACATGGATGGAAAAGATTAGAGAGAACATTGGACAGCATTTCTTCTACAAGTACTGACATAAAAAACAGAGTAAACAATGTGCAATGTTTCCACCTCTGGTAGGTGGGTATAAATCATTAATCTTTACAGTATAAATGGTGTGTGGGGCAGAGAGTTCTGAAAAGCTTTGAAAGAGCTGATTGAATTGCATGTTCTGTAGTTGGTGAGACAAGGATTCTAGTCCTGGTTCTGCCACCATTCTTCTTGTTGGTGGGCAGTTCCTTTATGTTCTGATCAGACATGGAAATTCGTTAATTCAGATGCCAACACTTATCTGGGGCTAAGGTGTCTGTGCTAGCATATGCTGATTCAGAATCTGAGTCTCTTAGCTCTGTTCTCATGTGAAAATTGGTTAATGTTTAAAGCATTTTGAATATGAACAACATTACATATTAATTGATTTTTACTTTCAAGATCTTTTACAGTTATTAATATCCTAAGAAAAAAATAACACAACTTCAATTCACATATAAGTTAACAAGCAGAATATACAAATAGGAAACAATGACTCTATTTAAGTTTACACTGATGTATATGGTCTTCATTTTCTTCTGGGATTAATTTCAGTGCACGCAGGTTGATTTGTGTGATCAACATACAGCATTCACCAACATCTTCTATGTTCAATATATTTCATATGCATACAATGCTTCTTTAAGAAAGAGCAAACATATCTCCTTCCAGGGTTTGCTGATACTTTTAAGTAGCCTCCAAAGGTAGATTACAGCAGCAGGTGTGTCTGCCTGTTAGCATCAGTTGCAAGGAACATTCTCCCTTCCTATTGCTGCTATGTGCAATTAAGTATTGTCTTTTTATCATGTAGTGTTGTATGTTGCTTGGTTTCTACCTTACAGTGCTTCTTGAATAGCGGAAATTAGCTGGGTGCTTGAGCTGGCAGTGCCTATCTTATCGGAAGGTCCTCAAACCTGGCATTTCATGGTACCTGGTTTCATTGAATTAGACCATCATGCAAAGCCCTTCTCTTCCCTGATTGTTTTCCTAAGGGTGGAGTTAGATGAATGGGAGACTATAGTGGACCAACTCTTTTCTGTTTAGAAAAGCAAAATTTTCTATATTTTCATTAGCTCTGGTACATACATCTCAAAACATTGGAAAATGCAGTAAGAAAATATTAATCTCAACCAAGCAATTCAATGAGCATTATACTAAGGCAGCTCTGGGGAGAGAGGAATTCATCTTGTATTTACAGCAAAGATAGCTTTGACTGTTTAGGCTACATTCTTCTCTTCTTCTGAATTGATCCTGTAAGATAACTGGAGAGAACATTTCACTAGAAATTCATTTTTTTTCCAGTTTTTTTTTAAATAGATCAAATTTACCTTCCTGATTATTTTAGACAGTCAATATATTTTTCTATAGTTGATGTAAAAACAGAAAATTTAACTTCAGACCCAGACTTATGGGACTAACATTTTGGATAGCATCTGAATTGAAACAATTGGCAGTGAAAAGTTGGTTCAGTAACATAATAGAAGTAAGTAGGTTTTTTTGTATATTAATGTTGGCTGTCTGGTTTTGAGCTACTTTGAAATAGACAAGGGGGATGACATAATATCCTTTATTTGGATCAACATTTGATCCAGTAAAATATATAACCTCACCCATTTTGTTTTAATAATCTGGGACCAACGGTGTTACAACTACACTGCATACTACTTTGAAACAGGTGGTTGAAACTTTCCATCCAGGCCATTTGGATGGCATGCAACAGACTTGAAGAGTCATAGACTTGTATAATATGGTGAAACAATCAAACGTAAACTTCTGAAGAAGAATGAACATGCCAACTGCTATGAATCAATTGATCAGAGTATACAAATAGACAAGAAGGTTTTGACCCTTTTTGTAACATCATGCAGATAATTTCACTCATGTCAGTGGAACTATTCAAGCTGGTATGGTGAATGTGATTTGTTTGGCGTGCTCGTCAATTTTTAATTGTAAAAGCCAAAAAAGAGCAGTCCTCATGACTTGGCTGTTTTTCTACACAAAAATAAATCAGGTGAGCTTTCCCTTCTTGTATTCTAGTAATGATTGACCACTTGTTTTCCCAGAACTGTGTACAGTCTTACTGACCTCAGTTATGCTACTACGCAGACAGAGGAGTAAACAGAGATCATCTGTAGGCTTCTGTACAGCAACTTGTTTGCTAAATGGAGATCACGTTTGATAGGGGAAAAAACATTGAAGATTCTGAAAAAGTACTGTAAACATTGTATGTGTGTATGACATAACTGGTGGGTAAAAACAAGCTTACAGCCTAAAGTCTTAAATCATTACAATTTTCAAAACTGGAATCTTAAATCTGTAAGCGAAGTGTACATCTATTAAGATTACATGGTCCTGGCCCTGAAGTTTGAATTCTCTTTTTGCCTCTGACTGTTCTTTCTGTGTGACTTTGGATAAATGACTTAACTTTGCTATTTCTCAGTTTACCCATCTATAAATAGGAATAGAAGGTACTATACTTCAGAAGTGTGAAATGAACTCAAATCCATAATCCCATGGATGTGAATGGGGCATTTCCAAAAAGATCAAGGGTAGATCAAAATTTAGTTATAGTTATTCAATACTTGTGTGTTCAGTGGGAAAATATGCTCACCTTAGAAGCATTTGTGTTTCAGACCTTTGTTTCGTGTGTGTGTGTGTCCGTCCGTCCGTCCTACCTCTTTCTTTATTCTACTTACCATTAAGGTCACCAGCGAAACAGATCATGTAAAGTCTCCAAACATTATTTGACTGATCAAAACATTTACTTTGCAGTAATTGTGGTTCTTTGAGTAGTTGTCCTTCTATAATATATTCCATAACCTGCACTACTTCCTTGTTACTATAGACTCTTATAACACCTGCATTCTGTATTGGTGAAGGAACTGAGGAATGGCTAGGGTCACACTGCCTTTTATGCTTCCAGTAGACAGCATGTGGACACTGAGGGTATGTCTATATTGCATTCCTCCTTCAAGAGAGGAATGCAAATGCTAACAAACAGAATTGCAAATAAAGCACCGATTTGAATTTCCCGTGCTACATTTGCATAATGGCAGCCGGCCGCTTTTCCGAAATAGTGTATTTTGAGAAAAAAATTGGGTTATTTTGAAAAGAAACCCTTCAAAATAACCCTTATGCCTTAAAAAATTCAGTTTAAGAGTTATTTGGAAGGAAGGGTTTCTTTTCAAAATAACCCAATTTTTTTCTCAAAATACACTATTTCGGAAAAGCGGCCGGCTGCCATTATGCAAATGAAGCGCAGAGATTCAAATCCGCGCTTCATTTGCAATTTTGTTTGTTTGCATTTGCATTCCTCCTTCGAGAGAGGAATGCAAATGCAATGTTGACATACCCTGAGGTTGCATATGAAGCCCCCTCCACCAATGAACACTACTGGCCTATAAAATCTGAACTTGAGTTCAGAAAAGTACAAGTGCACCAGCAGTGGAATGTATGTGGAAAATACATCTGGAAGAATTACTGTTACTATAAAGGATGTAACCTTTTCTTTTTATTCCATAAAACACCATAATGTCTGGCAACCTCACCCACATTTGAGCAAGGTTTCATTTTTCTTCCAAATGTGCCTCTTTGGTTCTGTAAACAATAATACAGTATTAAGTCATTTTAACACATTTTAATGTAAAATATAATAGATTTATTGAATTTCTAAATTTCCCATTACTTGAATATCCCATTATTTCCTTTTTAAATAAAGATGACATGTTTTGCCATAAATAAGCCATGACTATTTGCTCCATGCCATGATGAACAACCTGTGTTAAGTTCCAATTTGGTAACGCATGCAAGCATATATTTAAATCCCATTGAAGTCAATGAGATTTAAGCACATGTTCATAATAAGAAATGTGTCAGTGCTTTGCTGAATATGGCGCCTTAATAATGCTACATTTCGTTTTAGCATAATGGAGGTAAAGTCTTGCTTTGACCACTAGATAGCACCCGTGAGCCTCTATAGACCTCTTCCCCCCCCTTCCTTCCCCCCTTTCTCCCCCCAGCTACATTTTCTCCGAGGTTTGGGGTTTTCTGCTTTTGTACAGCGCACTGGTGTTTGTTTGGGCTTTTCTGTTTTGTTTTTTGACATAACAGGATTATTTCTTTCCAAACGTGACTTATGTTAGTCCATAGGTTTCCAAACATATGGTTAATTGGAGATTAAATTGCAAAATACCCACGTACTCCATTGTAA